TCATCCGAGTACTTCTCGCATACTGATTTTCGAATTCTATGAATTCGGACATACTACTCAGCTCTCATACTGATTTTAGCGTACTATATACTATGGAAGTATGCAATTTTGGACGCAGCAATTGTGTTCAAAAGAGAACTGTTTTTTGTTTTTTTTTAGAGCAGTAATCATAATACAAGGTTAACATACCGTCAGAATCTTATTCCGGCCCATGTCTAGCTGTGAGACGGCACTACCCACTGCGCCACCCAAATGGGAGTTGTATTGGTTTAAATAAAAAAAAAACTGTAACAGTCCCTTTGGATCTCCCCTGGTATTTTGATGCCTTCTGTTTGTGGCATGTTAAAATCACGAAATTGTATTGAAATTTGTCACAAATGCATTGAAATATACCGTCTTATTGTTAAAAAGTTGATTGTGTATTTTTAAATTAATGTTTTATTGAAAGCTTCTTTGGCTATTAGCTTATATATGTCTTTTAAAAACAAAATCAATGAATATGGCAGTAATCACAATACTAGTTCAATAAACATGGCAGAACCATGGTGTCAGCATAATAATATGTGATATTGGGATGAAAAACATGGTAGGTGCCAAAATACTTCATGTGTACTTGGAAACCTAGGCCGTATTGGGTTGAATATTTAAAATATATGGACATATCACAAAATGGGGTACACCAGGGGTGTCCAAACTTTTTGGGCCGAGGGCCAGATGCAAAAAGACAAACGTTGTCGCGGGCCAAATTTTACATACATCACACAGACACGTGTGTATATATATATATATATATACAGTTGAAGTCAGAATTGTTAGCCCCCCTAAATTATTAGCCCCCGTTTATTTTTTCCCCAATTTCTGTTTAACGGAGAGAAGATTTTTTTCCACACATTTCTAAACATATATTAGTTTTAGTAACTCATTTCTAATAACTGATTTATTTTATCTTTGCCATGATGACAGTAAATAATATTTGACTAGATATTTTTAAGACACTTCAATACAGCTTAAAGTGACATTTAAAGGCTTAACTAGGTTAATCAAGTTAACTAGTTAAGTTAAGGTAATTAGGCAAGTTATTTTATAACAATGGTTTGTTCTGAAGACTTAAAGGGCTAATAATTTTGACCTTAAAATGGTTCATAAAAAAATTTAAACAGCTTTTTATTCAAGCCGAAATAAAACAAAAGTCTTTCTCCAAAAGAAAAAATATTATCAGACATATGGTAAAAATGTCCTTGCTCTGTTAAACATCATTTGGGAAATATTTAAAAAAGAAGAAATAAATCAAAGAGGGGCTAATAATTCAGACTTCAACTGTGTGTAGATAGATAGATAGATAGATAGATAGATAGATAGATAGATAGATAGATAGATAGATAGATAGATAGATAGATAGATAGATAGATAGATAGATAGATAGATAGATAGATAGATAGATAGATAGATAGATAGATAGATAGATAGATAGATAGATAGATAGATAGATAGATAGATAGATAGATAGATAGATAGATAGATAGATAGATAGATAGATCATAACAAGAACTGCTGCTTAATTGAATGCATGTAATAGCGACACCCGGTGGTTATTTATTGAATTACGTTCATTTTTGTATAGCGGGCCAGATTCTATTGATATTTATAAAAAGCCTCGCGGGCCGCCACAAAACTGATTGCGGGCCGCAGATGGCCCGCGGGCCGTAGTTTGGACACGCCTGGGGTACACACATAAAACTACTTTTGCTGCTTGTTCAAACTACTTATTTAAATTGAGTTGAAACGGCACAGTTATTATGTTTTTTGGGGGACAACTTAACATTTTTATGTTCTACACACTTAAATTTATAAAATTGTTTAACTTAATCTATTTGTTTTGGAACAACATGAAGGAATTGTGTGAAACACAGCAATAATCACAGTCAGATGAATACCAAAAACATATCAAGAAACACAGTGGTAAAATGGTGATACAGGTCCAGTAAACGCTGTATAACATGTGTAACATGGTAGTACCACGATATTGGCCCAAAAAGCAGTATTGAAATACATGACTGAAAAAAACATGGTATCATATCAACATATCAAAAAACAGCAGCATTCAGACACATACCTCAAACCCCCCACAAAAAATAAATAAATAAATAAATAAATATATATATATATATATATATATATATATATATATTAGGGGTGTCACGATTTCGATTTTTAATCGAAATCGATCGAAATTTATGCTTAATTTCGATTATCGAATCAAAAAATAGAATTGTCGATGCTGCCACGCCCCCATGTCACGTCAGCTTGGCTTGCCAAGCGGGGAAAAAACAGGCTTGTTGAAGTGCAGAAGCAGGAGACCCGTCGACAGAACTTAAACCCTCTCCTCTTTCAATGAAGTCGCCGGTGTGTAAGCATTTTGGATTTCCAGTGAGTTATGTTGACAACGTTCGTGTTGTCAACAAAAAAAAACCACAGTTTTGCAAGCTCTGCTATGTACGTATTACGTACGGTTCGTCCGATAGACAACACCGGCATCGTGATCCTCCGCCCGCCCCCGTTGCAAATCCGCTCGCGAAAAGTACACACTCAGGCCCTGTTTACACTGTCTTTGTTTTTAAATGGCATTTTAGAACGACAACGATTTGACATCCACAGTGGCGTGTAGCGTTTCTGAGCAGCCCTCCTTCCTCTCTACCTCTGAAAATGCACATCACGTGACCACACAGACACAGACGCACTCACAGCCATACGCTCGAGACAGCAGGTCCAGGCAGTCAGAGGACTGCTTCAATCTTTCACTCACTTGTACTCATTTTAGCGAATACCTCAGATACTGTTGGCTGGTTCCTGTTGGTTGTGCGTCTTTTTTACCAACGCCATTATAACGTCACAGATCACTGCCTATTCACGAGTCCCACAGAAAAGGTGATTGACAGGTGGTAATTATGTGTGTATCTTGCCTTTATTCATTTACTGTATGATTTGTTTATGGGTAAAACAAAGACCATGCAGGTCAGGTAGTTTAAACGGTAGGTTACAAATAATTAATTGGTCATTAATTAATTATTTATTCATAATCAAATCAAAAATCGAATCGAATCGTGCCTTTAGAATCAAAAATGTAATTGAGTCATCAGTAATCGAGGATTTGGAGGATCGTGACAACCTTAATATATATATATATATATATATATATATATATATATATATATATATATATATATATATATATATATGTATGTATGTATATATGTATGTATATATGTGTATACATCCAAAGACCTGGTAGGTTTTCATTTATGATTTTAGATTGAAACACGTGTCTAATAATATCACATACAAAAAAAAAAAAAATTGTAGTAATGATATATGCCCATGGGAGTATTTCAGTATACTTCTGTAAAACATGATGCAGGTCAAGAAATATGGGTGTATCATGATGATTTACGGCCAGAAACCATATTGAGTTATGCACATTGTATGTATAATGCTTGAAAATTTGGTTAATATAACAAAAAAAAGGCCAAAAACAATGGCACACTGTTGTCATCTACACAATCAAATGCACTTGCCTTTTGTTTAATAATTGCTAAATGGCTTATAACACTTAACTGGAAAAATCCTTCCCCACCCAGTTACATACATTGGATGCATGATCTGATGCAGTCTATGCAAATAGAAAAGATTAGATATACAGTTTGCAGTAATACTGAAAAATTTGACACTATCTGGCAACCCTTCCTCTTACACTTTAAAAATAAAAATAATAAATAAATAAACATGTATATTTATGTGTATATGTATGCATGTATATAGCTGACTTATTTTCCCTGCCCCTGGCATAGTTATGAATGGAGATTGTTTTTTATTTTATTTATTTTATTATTATTTTTTAAATATATATTATTATTTTATTTTCTACTGCTGTACCCTTTGAGTGTTGTATTTGTTTATTCTCTGTACTGTTGTTGTTGTTGTTTTTTTCCTTAATGCATGAAAATGTAATATTGTTTTATTCAGAGAGAAAGAAAACGTGAGCAAAATTGTATTCTACCACCACATTGGAGCTGTTGATGTCTAATGATTCTGTGTATCTGATGCTGTGGCTCTCTGACTAACATATTTCAATAAAAAACAGAGTTAAACTAAAAAACAATGGCACACTGTAAAAAAATTTGGGTTGCCATAAAATTTTAAGCTGAATCAAATGAGTTCATTGAACTTACATTATGTACAACTGACTTAAAACAGCTTGTGTAACTTATAAAATGAAGTTAAAACATAATTAAATTAGTTTAATAAGTTACAATGACCAAAAAACATATGCTGTCATGACTAATTTTTCATATCATTTTACAGTGCAGTAATGGGTTGCATCTTAAATATATGGCAGTACCATGAAACATTCTACAAAACACATGCCACATGTATAAAACCCATGGGTATTTTCCAAAAAGCTCAAAATAAAACTACAGTGCATGGTGTCTAAAAACCATACAATCAATGTCCAAAATAACACAGAACAGTGGCTCTTCTTATGAGTGTGGCTACAGAACAGAAAAGTAAGCCTATTTTTTCTATTTCATAGAAGTATGAAGGTCAGCATCATCATCATCATCCTCATCTCCCATCCCCCATCTCTCCAGAGGACCGTGACCCCCTCCATGAGTCAGATGACCACATCAGCTGTCCGACACATCTACTGTCCTCCTTTCACTCCTTACGCCACATCTTATTATGGCAGCACTTGTCGGACATTTCATACACACACTCCACTGAGTTGTTCAACTTCTGTATCATCATATTTCTCTTGCTATAAGTAGCAGAAGCGGAAAAGTTACATCTATTTCTCATTCACATTATGATCGCTGCACTTAACAGGACACGAATGTTTTCCTTAAACTTTATTATGTAATGACATTCCCATACACTTGTAGAGTATGAATAGACGCTCGTTTCGGTCGCGTTTACTAAACAAGAGAATAGAAACACACGCTTACCGCTTTTAGTTGTTCCAGTCGGTCCTTCATATTTCTGTCTGCTGTTTAACACTATCCAGAAAATAAAATAAATAAATAATAAATAGGTAATGTGACAATAAGACGGTGAAAGTAGCGTCGGAGCGGTTCGCGAAGTCTAGATGTTTGCTCCTGAACTCCGCGGATTCCTGCTCCGACACAGAGTCTTGTTATTCCACCAAAGGTCCATGCAATATGGCTGCTCTCCTCCAAACCAGTAGTTTTTTTTCATCTAAATCTATCCGCTCAGAGGATTAAAACAACAGTTGTGTTCAGTCTGCTTAATCTGTATTCCTCCCTCTCCCTCTCTTTTCTCGTTATAATCGTTTAGAAAGAGCTGTTCTTTCACGCATGCTCTCTGCCTCTCTCTCTCTCTAACCTGCACCGCTGCTCTGCCCACGGTCACGCCCTGCGCGGACAGGACACCTGTGTGCGCGTGCGCGTGACTTATTATTTTTAACTTATTAACGTTTATTCTTTAAATTATTTTCAATTTTATTTTTGCTAGATTGTTTGCAACCACTTACCTTTAAAATAGGAAATCCAATGAATCACTTCTTTCAGTACCATAAATGAAGAATTGATTTATTAATTTAATGAGATTTACTTTCAGACTCAGTAAGTTGAAAGTAAAGTAACTTCTCTGCAGTTGGCTTGTCAGTGCTAAATCACTTTTGTTTTAATAAAAAACTAAGATAATTTATTATTAAACATGTGTAAGTCGCGTGATTATTAAAATGAGTATGCCTTGCATATTTATGGTTATTGATAGGCTCTTGATAGGCTAGGAACAGCCTATCATTCTATTATTATTCATATATTCTGTTAAAAGATTTTTGTGTTCATCCTTGCTACAAGCAAAAAAAAGAAAAGAAAAAAAGGAATAAACTTTATATTTATATAAAATTTATATATGGCATGGCCATTAAAAATACAATGGTCCTTTACCAGATAGTTTTTCAATTTACTTATAAAGATAATGTTACTTCAGTCATGTTGAAAAAAAAAATTGAAATCTTGAATCGGTCAAACTTTATAAAATAATCTAGATTTTTGTTTTTGCCAAATCGCCCAGCCATATGACATATGCATCTTAAAATTGGGAGGGTTTTCTGTAAAAGAAAACCATATTCATCAATCTACTCCGATGTCCCAGCAAACAGTAAAGCGTAAATTCATGTAGAATTTTACTTGTTGCATGAGTCTGAATGTTAATCATTTTTGTAGCCTACATTTTTGACAGGACATATTTTACAGTTTTGTGATAAATATTACATTGATTGATTAACCCTGAATAGTGAATTCAAACATCCAAAGTAGCATATGAAGTTCCAGCTTAAAAAAAGGAGCTTGAAATAATGAGGAATACAGAAGCATTTTGACACCAAGCAAATTTGACAGATTCACATTAATTGTTGATATTAACTCTTTAACTTCCACTAGTATAAAAAAATTAAATAATATAAATAAATAATCTGTTTAAATTGTTCCTTAAACCACTCAATTAAACATTTTTGTTTCGTTTTAATGATAAACTAACCTTGAAGAGATGATGCCAACCCTAACAGGAATAAATAGCCTAGACGATCCCAACCTTGTCAGGACTTTGAGGACAGCCTTAAGCAATACACAAACTGTTCTTATTTACTGTAATGATCAGATCACTTATATAGGGTGATTCAAAAAGAATACCACAACTTCCGGGTTGATGTCACTCGAGTGTCTGGAAGGGGTAATATTGAACATCTAACTTGTTTTCTGCTAAACAAAACTCGTTAAGCAGCCTACTCTTCACATTGATTAATTACCCAAGGTTCCATCATGTGTCTTTGATTAAATACAGATTTTTATATTCTTTTGAATGACCCAAATAAATACACACAGATAACCTTTTTTGTTTTAAATACACACCATATACTTTACAATTGCAGGTTATAGCCTATAGTCAACTGAACCTTTTATAAAGCTGCTCTGGAATGAAAATTATTGAGAAAAGCACTATACAAATAAACTTAAACTGAATTGAACTAACCCTACATTAGGTCAATCAAGTAGCTCCTATGCCAGATAAAGAGTTAATGCAGAACATGAAACTGGGAAAACAGTTTAAATACACTGAAAACAGATGATCAACAAAAACAAGGAACAGGTGTGTAAAATTATCGGTAACCATAGCAACAAAATGACAAGAATGCATAGAAGAGCATAATGCACAACAGAACATTTGTGAAATGGAATTAATTCTGCTAAATGTAGCCATTTGAATTCCAGATATTAAAAATTGTATTAAATTTGAAAAAAAATTTAAATATGAATTTTGTCATATTTTTGTTGGCCTAAAATTATTTGTAGTGAACTACTTTAAATTACGCAATATTAGCAGTTTGCACATTATTTTTGTACTATTATTACCATTTTTATTTTACCTTTTGTCGGATTGCTCAATATTTATTACATGTCCGTAACTACTTTCCTCTGAAAATGCCCAGAAAGACAATTAGAATAACCTCTAATAAATGCACTTGGTAAATGTAAATTAACTTTGTTTTCTAAAGCTGCATTTTAAATTATGGGTAGCATTTCTGGTTTAGGTATGCACCTTGCACACACAATGAATGAAATTTCAAATAGGCCTAATAAGTCTTACAAATCAAATGACTTAAGTCAGTCAGCTGACAAATCAATGGAAATTCATTCTGTATGATTTAAGTATGCCAGTGTATATACAAGAACAATTAATACCTTAATACCTTGTAAAATATCATTTAAGACTTTTTAAATTTCTCTACATTGATTTATCAACTTTTAATATTTTTTAAGACTCTGCGGACACCCTGTATGCATCTGTCTTGAATTCACACGAAACTTCATAATAATTCAGTTAATTTAGACAATCCCTTGTCAATACATCATCTTTTTATTGAATAATATATTTTTATTAAATACATATTTGGAAATCTTTAATTCTTGACCATTTTTGTAAGTTTTGAAAAATATTTAAAAACAAATATGTGTTCAAATATGGTTTCTACAATTAGGCTATATTTGCCTGTTTTTCCTGTGTTTAAAAAAAAACTTTCAAAATATAATTGCCTACTAAAAATGTTTAGGAGTATATGTTTTTGATTTAAAAATAATTTCATCTCATTTTAATAAATAAGTTCATCCACATTTATTGTTAATTAGAAATGCATTTTAAAATATATGTAGAATATTTCAATAGAACTGTACTCTATGATAAAGCTGTAAGATACCAGGTGTTTTAGTAACAGTAGAAGTGGAGTCAAAGATCAATGTGTATTGGCCACTTCAGCACACATGAAGCACGAGAGCTGACATTCATTAACCCTCTCCTTTATCAACACTAACCAGGAAAGCAGAATGCCATCGTGTGTCGGCTCAGTTTGGATTCTCTGGAGGAAATGTGACGGCCTGTGGTTCCTAACCAATCGTGACACAAGAGTGTAATGGCTGTGGTGTTTAAAGCCCTTCCTCTTGAAAGTTTGACTCAACAGACCGCTAATGGCATAAATTACGATTCTCTGCTCTCTAGTGGCCACATTGAATTATTACGTATTAAGTAACGAAGACGTAGAAAAGATTTTTACACAGGTTCAGCATTTTACATATTGTTAAACTTAAAAAAAAAAAAAACGTATGTATTATTTTATTCCCCAGGTAGCTCTTGACAATGCAATGCCCATTTATTTGCGAATACATTATATCAATTTGCTGTGAACTGATACTCTTGTTAAAAGGTCCAGGATTGGAGATGAGATGTAATCGCCACAGAATACTCCAACTTTAATAAAAATGCTTACAGTCGTCAACATTTGAAGTTTCATCAAAATTGATCAAAAACTACTGAACATTAGGGGAGAGTGGGACAGTTTAAAAAAAAAATTGCATTTCCTTCAGTTTTCCAGTATTTTTGTGGAAACCCAAAACATATCAATATAATAAACCCAAATCTTTCAGACACCCAGCCACATTGCTATTAGCCTAAATGTGTACATGTGATAATATACGCAGAATTTAAACTTGAACAGATTTAAATGTATTTCATCAGGCTAGATTTAATTTACAGCTTTTTGGTAAACATAAAGGTAAATGAGTTAAATTGGCCACATAAAAACAAACTATTACAAGGACAGGCAAACATTTTTTTTTTTTTTTACTGAAAATCTAGAGTGAGCCTTTACTAAACTACTTCTTTGAACTATGAAATAAGTTAATTGATCTAATAATTATTATTTTAAATTAAATTACATTGAAATCAAATTTAAATTGTACTTTGTTAATATGGCAAGCTTTTAAATTAGTTTTGTAATTGGGGACAGTTGCAACAGCATGTTGGAACTATCGTATCTCTGTCAACCCAGATTAAACTGTCTATGCTATAGGGAGATACAATGAATAATTAAAAGTACACAAATAAATAATAATTCACAAAAACCAATTAGACAGAATGAGAAATTTTCTGAAAATTGATATTTTTTTTTACCTAAAAATGAGTTTTATACTAAAAGAATATCAGATGTGGCTGAGTTCTCTCAGATTGTAGGAGGGTCTAATTGACGAATAAGTCTTGTGTTGCAACTGTCTCCACTCCCCCCTGCTTACAATTGTCTTAATTTTGATCCACTTCAAATGTTGACTATTGTAGTTCCACCAAACTTTACAATAAAATGGCAAACTTAGTACATTCTAAAATATACCACCATTTAAATCAGGGTGTACAAACTCGATCCTGGAGGGCCGGAGTCCTGCAAAGTTTAGTACCAACCCCAATCAGACACACATGGGCCAGCTAATCGAGCTCTTACTAGACTTTAAAAAATGTAAAATCTGTAGGACACCAGCCCTCCTGGACCATGTTTGAATATGCGTCCGAATATAACTGACTACATTAAAATGCATTTAATTGTAGTTTTAAAGTATCAGTTATTATTAATCATTAGCTTTTAAATATAATGTTGATTAATGGGAGCCAGATATTTCAGCTCCATGGCTTCTCGGCTATAAGGAACCTACTACCCCTGGACCCAAGGAGCAGTGAGTCTTAAGTCTAGCACCTGCATCTCCTAACATGCATTTAATATTTTGTTCAGCAACGTTTCATTAATTGTTTTTATTTGTTTAGGGATGACTGTTGATGCTTGTTATAACTTAAGGCGCCCTCAAATGTCATTTACAAATAAAATGAATTATTAAATGGCGAAACAATACACATAAAAGCCAATTTTAATCTAGGAATTCTAGGTCTAATGAATCACTTTTTAAAATAATTTAAATGAGAGCTGTGTAAAAATGAATGGCACCCAAAACAGGCTTGACTTGACAATTTACGTGTATATTATGTATATGAACATTGCACGCATATATTTAATAAATGTTTCTA